GAAACATGTGCTTGAGAGGATGGATATTGGTGACGTTCAGTGTCGTGTTAAACCAGACGGCTGAGAAATGGACAGACTATGCTCCAAATAGAAGAACAAAGGCTGCCAAATCTTGGCTTGGCTATCCAGGCTCGGTTGGACTAGTTCATAGCATACTTGTAGCATTACTGTGTATGATGGCAGCTATGTCATTCGTCAATCATGTATTTGGTGTCGAATACTCACCTTATCCTTGGTGTCCTCACATGGACTGTGACTACTACGGAAGCCTCCGAAACCGACTACGACACTCGGAGGAAAGTAGGCGGGTGAGCTGACCAGAGGCAAATAGCCCAAGCACCGTACCATGGTTACACAGGGGAGATCTGCAGTGCCTTACCAGGCGGTCGTCATACGGCAACACATCATATTCTCTCCACAGTGTTATGTGCTCATGAACCTCTTTTTCAAGATGGAACAAAGTCTTGATAATGAACGCCACGAGAAATGCAACGATAATTGTGTAAGCCAAAGCCTGCGGCCACGCATGCAAAGCAGACTCCTACCAAGGAAGCACACGTACACATACAAGCAGTGGATTGCTAAACGAAATGCGCTGGCTTACGACGATTTCCACGTTTGGCGGAAAGCGTGTCACGACGCAAAGTACGAGCAGCAGCATGGGGGGGATCCCTGCAGGCCACTCCAAGGTTCTTTGAAACTGTGAAAGAAAAGAAAAGAAAAGAAAAAACACAAATACAGCACTGTCCAAAAGCAGCACACAAGTAAGCACAAACACGCCTCGCGCATGCATCGATAACTGCAAAACTCCTGTGATCCCTGCTGTCGTAGGCGGCGAAATGACCATTGCCCTCGGGATCAGCCATGACGAGCCGTTTCGGATGTCGGATGTGAGTTGTGTGCAAAGAGGCCATGACGAAACAGAATCCGCGTAGGCTACCTACGATGTCTACACCGCCTTCACACCCTTCTCTGCGTTCTTGTGAAGATACGACAGAACGACCCCGACGACACAATCGACGTGGCTGGCTGCGACCGCAATCGAGTCCAAACAGGTCCCGACATGCTGGTGGCCTCCCTTCCCTCCTGTCTTGCGTCCAAATTCTGCGCCCCTCTGTCTCTTTGCTGCTCCCTCCGACCAAGAAAATTATGTGCCACGTTTCTCGACCATGAAATGCATCCATCCACAGGCCTCCTTTCCACGTCGTTTCTTGCTGTTATCGTCCATGTGTGGCAACGACTGATAGAAGCTCGTATGTACGCCTTCCGGCCCTTTAACCTTCCGGCCCCAAGGCTCTACCTTGCGCCCACGACAGCTGTGGCCATCAAACACCGAGCCTCATAGCCGTCCCCAGTACCAGGCACACCAGCTTTGAATTCGTCGTGGACGTTTTACCCAGATGGTCTTTACCCTGCAGTCCGCTCGTTTCCCCCACTTTCAACATCCATATATCCCCTGTCCGTGCTATCGTGTGCTTCGTCGCTGGCCGGCTGGCCCTCCTCTCGCTCGTTTTATCTCTCTCTCCCTTTAAAAGTTCATTCCTTCCCTTCTGGCCCCCCTGTCCATATCCACGCAACAAGCGGCGAATGACTAAATTGACAAATGAAAAAGCTTATTCCGAGTCGCATCTTATCGTGTAATATTGGCACTGTTCCCATTACCACGCTGCCATTCGCATTCTTTCCTTCGCTCTTCGTTCTCATGTCCGCCGTATCCAAACATCGCCAGCCCCGGCTGCGGGCGTCGTGCGATGGCTGCTTCCTCGCCAAGGTCAAGTGCTCCAAGGCACGGCCGATCTGCTCGCGCTGTCTTGCCTGCGGCATCGAGTGCCGCTACTCGCCGTCGAGCCGGGCCGGCAAACCCAAGGCGGACCACTCCAACAACCACAGCAGCAACAGCAGCAATATCAGGAATCCCAACAGCAGTAATCACCACCACCACACCGCGCCGATCCCGCACGACATGTTGGCCGTCGCTGCCGGCTTCTCACCATCCTACCGACTCAATACGGGCTGGCAGCCAGCGGCCGGGATGGAAGTCGCCGCAGGACATGGCATCGCGCGTCATCCTTCCATCTCGTCCGAGCTGGCCTTGCTCGCCATGGACGAGAATGCGTCTGCTCCTGCCATGGCCGCAGCAGCGGGCGGGGCGGTGCCGTGGTCGACGCCGCCGACAGACTTCCAGTTCTCACAGTTTTCTGGCTCGCCCATCAGCGGCGTGCCGATGCACGCGGCCGTCCATGCCGACATGGCCGTGGCCCCGTCCGCGGCGGCCAGTGGCATGTCGTGGATGGACGCGGCCGTGATGGACGTGTTTCGGGGCCCACCCCAACCATTCTCACAGCATGTACAGCATGTACAAAATGTACAAAATGTACAGCATGCACGACCACAGCCGCCGCCGCCATCGCACTCTCACCGGCAACAGCAGGTGCCTACACCGGGCAGCATCGCCTCGTCGTCGGCCAACACCTACTTTCCGAGCCCGTCCACGACGCCCAGCCTACGCCAGAGTCCGGCGGCCGGCCACAAGTCTGCGTCTCTCCCTGGCAGCAGCAGCGGCAGCGGCAGCAGTGGAATCGGTGGCGTCGGCTACCTCGGCAATTCGCCCGTGTCTGCCGTATCTGCCCTGTCTGCCGTCTCCCCCCCCTGTGTCTGCTTTACGGCCTGCCTGTACGCCCTCCAGGCCTTGCACAACGCCTCGACGCCCACGGCACCGCCCTTTGACGTCGTCTTGGCGCTCAACCGCAACGCCGTCGAGGGCTGTGCCGCCCTGCTGGCCTGTGCCCACTGCATGCGCCGGTCCGGCACGCACACGGCCGCCATGCTGCTGGCGACGCTGCTGGGGAAGATTACGTCGTTTTACAAGACGGCGTCGCCGTCGCACTTTCGGCCAAATTCAACAACAGAAGCAACAGCAGCAGCCGCCGCCGCCGCCGCTGCCGCTACAGGCATGGGCGACAGACATCAAAACAATCAAAATCACAGCGCTGACGCCGTCGCTTCTTTCGCCGCGGGCGCCGAGGACGATACCACAGCGTCGTCGGTGTCTGCACTGCCTATCCACGCCGACCGCTCTTCGCCCACGAGCAGCACCGCCGGTATTCCGTTTCCTGCCACCGGTCATGGTCATGGGCATGGTCTTGGCCTTGGCCTCGGCGTCAGTCTAGGAGCGTACCAGCTTCAGGGCCAAGACGGTCGCTGGCTGGAGCTGGAGATCCTCAACCGCGAGCTCAAGAAGCTCGAAGAAGTCTACACGCGGTTCCACGAGGTGTGCGGCGACCTGCTCTTTGAAGACGTGGCTGTGTCCAAGGCCATGATCGGTTACCTGGGCCAAAACCTGGGTGCGGCCCTGGAGCTGGTGAACCACCGCAAAGACAGCCTGCCGTTTGCGTAGACGGGGAACAGGCAATAGTAATATCCCACACTCACTTTGGCGCTGTTCTCTACGTTTTTTTCTTGTTCTTTTCTTTTACTCGATTCCAAGACCTAATTCTTCTCTTATTTACGGGACATTGTCTCAGTTTGGAATTTCTTCCATTTGTTTTGTTTCATTTGGTCATACATTTATCATCACAGCATACGGCTCGGCGTTGAGTCTGCTTACCTGGTACGAAGTACCTTTCTTCATTATACGACCAGCAAATTCTAATGATTTCCTACTGTAGAGCCACGTCTTACCTTACTCTCCTCATGGATAGTGATGTGCACTTCCACGAGTCCGTCGCCTCGGAATGTAGTTTCCTTCTCTCGCGTCCTGTCAAGCAGCACTTGCGCCTTTGTCTGCGTGTCCTACAAGCGGTGACGATATGGTAGATACGTAAGCTAACAGGCCAGCTTCAGACACAAGTGCTGCACCAAAATTCGTGGGAACACAGACCTGCTGCTGCTCAACACAACCGGGTGGAGATGTCCGGAAACGTGCTGTTCGTTGGAATCACAGACATAAGTTGTCGTGGTTGCAGATAAACCGTTGCAGAGGATGCGGCTACACCAAGGTAGAATGGTGCAATGAAAATGAAGTACAAAAATGAAAATAAATAGCCCGATTCCTTTACAGCCTGGCCTCTCCCCATCGTACCCACTTGCCGTTCACAACATATAGCAGAAGCATGTCAGGGAGGGTCGCCAGGATATACAGGGCCGGACCTGAGCTCTGCGCTGCCCACCACTGCGTCCCCACGAGAACCTAAGTGTTCAAGTGCACGCTTGGAGGTGCCGTGCTGGGGACTGCTTTTGGCATGTCCAGATATATGTGCTTGACGTGAGCCCGGGCGCCTTTCTTGCGAATAAAGTAGATAGCTCATATCGAGCCGCTGGGACCGTGCGCCTTTGTTGCATTTATGACATGCCACGGCTGCGAGAGGAATAGACGCGAACAGCCAGAACAAAGCAATGATCCAGGTTACCGGAAAAAGTCGACTTCATTGTCTCCCCCACAGTATGTAGTTTTGGCTTTATTTTGGTATCTGCGCACTGATCAGTCCGCACCCATCGATGCGCTGCGACATTGTGCTTTAATTTGTATCCAATATGTCGCACCGTCTCTGTACAGATAGTGAGGACAGGTCGGGCAATGCAGGTGTCGGGCTGCCGTTGCAGTCCTTGGGTCAAGGGAAAACGGGATGCTGGAAATGCTATCGAGAACGTGCCCTCTGTCCACGGAAGCAAGACGGATGCACGCCATAATAGCCAAACAAATACGAGGTCTTTCAATTTGCCATGAACGGATGGACGGATGGGCGGATGGAAGTGGCAAGTAAAAGTGTACTTATGTGATGGACTTGGTTTGCTCTGCACACCTGATAAATGTACTCCGGACAGCACTCATGTGAGACGCGGCAAACACAAAGTAATTTATTCCTCTTTCGAATTCCCATTTTGATCTACGGAATCACTACCTACTTTCAGACATACCGTTTCCCACCGTTTCCCACCTTTTCCCAGACCTCTGTCCATGTGCTCGTTTACCTGCAGGCATGCCGTGTGCTTGTTCCGGCCTACACAGCAGAACCACCCGACAGCTTAATGACTTGGCCTACATTGATTGGGCAGATTAGTTTTGAGCAATACGTCCAGCGGCTGGGGCGTACCAAGAAGAAACCAAGATACAAAGCAGACAGAAACAGGCAACGTACCGTTGATCCACTCGCCCTCCGGGCTGACCAGAAGCGCCACAGCCTTGCCAATGTCGGCCGGCGTGCCCACGCGCTTCAGCGGGCAGGCCTTGGTGATGCCCGCATCGATAATGTCCTGCGACATGCCCTTGTAGCCGCCCGGCACGTAGTGCCACGAGTTCTCGTCGTACATGTCCGTCTTGACGCCGCCGGGGGCAATCGCGTTGACGGTGACGCCCTTCTCGCCGCAGTCGACCGAAAAGGCGCGCGTGAAGCCCTCGACGGCGGCCTTGGACCCGGCGTACAGCGCGTGGTTCGGGATGCCCGTCAGCGACGCCGCCACCGACGACGTCAGGATGATGCTGCCGCCGGGGCGGCAGTGCTTGAGCCCCTGCTGCGCCACAAAGAACTGGCCGCGGCAGTTGAGGTTGAACACCTTGTCAAAGAGCTCCTGGGTCACGTCCAGCTCCGACGACCACACCTCCATACCCGAGTTGGACACGACAATGTCGATGCCGCCAAAGTGCGCCACGGCGCGGTCAAACAGCGCCACGACCTCGGCCGGCTTGCTAATGTCCGCCTTCAGCGCCACGGCCTCGGCGCCGAGCGACTGCAGCTCCGCGACGACCTCCTCGGCGGCCGCGCTGCTGCTGCCGTAGTTGACGACAACGCTGGCGCCGCGGCGGCCGAGCTCGATGGCAATGCCCCGGCCAATGCCGCGGCCGGCGCCGGTAATCACGGCCACCTTGCCGACAAAGGGGCGGGCGGCGTCGGCAACAGTGTGAGTCATGTTGATGCTTTGTGGTGGGTGTGGTGTGCGAGTGGGGGCAGTCCGGCAGATGCGGGGTGTAGGGAATGCTGGGCAGATGGGTTTTCTGGATTGGAATGGTGGACGTCGTCGTTGGGTTGCTGGACAACAAAAGGTGCATCTGCCCTATTGCACACCCAGCACACCGCGTCTCTTATACGTAGCAACGATTGGCAAACCGAATCTGAGAACGAGCACTTCCCCAACAGCGGCCTCGACGCTTGAAGTCCGAAAGGAACATCCGTCCTGGAGGCCGACACATAGTTGGGGAAGTTGGCAAGTTGGCAGGGGGGCAGCGAAGCTTCGACAGCCCAGCTATTGACAAGGAAGGCTGATAGGCTAATACAGAAGCCGACAGCAAATTTCGGCATACAGGGGCCTATTGTGGACAGCGAGATGCCTGTCTAGCATTCAACTAAGAGGGAACACCCGACACTGAAGCGTCTGCATTTGGCACTCCGGTACAGCAGACATGAGTACCGTAGTGGCGTAAAAGGCTCAAGTTGGCCTCGATAGAATATTCTGTTCGCTTTGAATAAACGACTGCCTGGACAGAGGTCCGAACCGCAGCTGCCTCTGTCGCCGCAACAGTCTGTATAGGCCAGTTCTCTTGCCTCTCAAAGGAAATGGGCATGCTACATCTCTTCTCTTCGTTCATCTGCCCCGCCGTTTTTGGACAACAAATAGCAAAGACTGTCCTGAAGGACAGTCGCAGGGACAAGGACATTGTGGAGGAGTTCCGGATGCGCAGACGGCGTAAATTGAGCGCTGCGTTTGCCATCGTCTCCTGTCCATTTCGTGTCTCATCTGCCTCGCCGCGTGTTGATTGCTTCCCCAACGGATGTCCGTGCCATCAAAATGCGGACAAAAGCGGGAGAAACGCGATCCGCCACCAATACACAAGATTCCCACCAGCAGCAACAAATGCGTGCCTCGAATGCCAGGCCGACGTTTTGCTACGCCTGTAGATATTTTCGAACAACTGCAGCTCTTTACCAAGATCGTGAGATGCGGTCAACATGTCCATTCGACACAAAAGAAAAGAAAAGTGGGGCTTGATGTACTGTTGTATTTGATTGGCCGCACTTACACGACTCAGAGGCGCTAAGCCTAATACGGATGCTCCACACCGACGACATCGCAAGAATACGTGTGAAAATGCACGACTTGCCTTGCGCTTCTATCGCCAGAGGGAGGCCCAGGTAGAGAAACAGGCTTTCAAAGCTGTAGTTTGATTTATATTGCACCGCCGGATGCAAAGTATGTGCCAGTGGGCCGCAACGAGCCGGTGCGGTGCAACCTCTAGCCCGCGGAAGAGTGGACGAAGGACAGCATGAAAGGACGACACAAAATATCGACAAAAGAACGGCCTCGGAGGCAGCGTCGGTGGAGGAACAGCCAGAGGCGCCACAGGTGTCTGACAGTTGTTTTTGGTTTTGCCAAAGGTGATATCGCTTGCTTTTTTTCTTTAGCCTGAAACGCATCGCAGTCCTGCTATATACTGACACGCGGGTTCGCGGCATATTGGGTTGCTCTGTCGCTGGAATTTCCTTTGCATATCTCAATGCGCTCCCAGTTCACCCCATCCTTACATTATACACTTGACGTACGATTTCTGACCGTACCTTCGCCTTCGGAGCCGTGATCGGCTTCCTTCCTGCTCTTGTGATTAGTATCGTCCCCATGGTAAATACCGATTCTTTACGCCTCCATAAATTGATGCAGCCCTCTCAAATCACAATTCAGAGCCTCGACGGATGTTATCATTATTCTGTACTTCAGATGTCACGCAAGATTGGCTGACAGGCCGACGCACCGTAGCGGATCCTGCAGGGGCACCGAGTCTGACTAAGAACGCAATCCTGTTCTTTCATACATCTCAGCGTCGTCACCCTGTATATACGTATATACATTCGATTACTGTCAACATCCGCCTCCTGTACCAAATCGGGAAAACGACCGGCTTTGGATGACAGCGGAACGTCTTGCCTCTCACGCCGCCTTGGCCAAGTGTTCTTTATTATTTCAAATGGTACAAGGGCCAGGGTCTCTTTCTCCCGGGCCTGCCCTCTTCTTCATCGCTACATACATCTGTGCACATCAACAGTTCTTTCTCCCGCTGGACGGAAAAGGCGGAACGTGGGGAAGCTGATGGCAAAAGCCACACAAAATCCATGCAGCGGCTGGCAGGCATCGGCATCCAGGAACAACACCTACTGTGCCGCGGCGTATGCCGCGCTGTTCATGAGGAAGCTGATCCTGGAGGGCCAGATGGGGGCCGTGAATGGCCCGTTTGTGGCATATAAAATCGCAAGGATAGAACCAGCATATCAAAATGCGACTCTGCTACGGCGCCGCATGATATGGTGCTATTCGTACGCCCCTCAATATATTCGTTCCGTTCAGAAAAGGGAGGGGTAATATCAGAGGGTATAGTATAATAATGCAACGTGATATAGATGACCTGGTCAAACCAGCATCTCATCATATCCGAGGACAATGGCCGTAGGCAGGCAACCTCATTTCCAAATTATAAAGTGGAAACAAAGTCAACCGTTCTGTTCTAACAAGATGGAAAGAGAAAATCTGACGTTGTCTGCTCTTTTTACACCTCGGAATGATGGGCAGAGGTGATTTGGAGTGGCACGGATATCAATCTCACGCTTTCCACAATAAACGTTTGCTGAGTACAATCTAACGAGCCAATCATCTAGCTTTGCCAATTGATCAGAACCCAAAATCCTTTACCAAGTCGTATCTCACCCCCCTGTCGCGGAGGTTTTTCTTTTTGTATTTGGTCTTGGATACATCAGCCGCGTCGTAAAGCCTACTTTGCCATACGCTGACTTTACTGGTGCATCACTGATTGGAAGCAATATACACGTAAAATCCCGGCCTAGCGACAATAATAGCAGCACCATTCTGATCCATTTAAGCACACTCAAATGGTGTGGCAAATACGCCACCAGGAATCTGGGATTTTGGCAATCTTTTCCGCAGCTTAGAACGAGCCAAGACGGTTCCGTACGCTTATTTTGTATATTGTTGATACCCCCTACAATCCAGTCTAATATACATCCGGGCCGCTTCTGGCAAACTTAATTGGGTCTCGCCATGTGGACCTGTCACTGCTGGGATTGTGCTGTAAGCTTTTTCATTTTATTTTTTTGAATTTTGGAATACGGAACTAGGCGCCAGCATCGTAGTCACTTCTTCGAAAGGTCATTAGGCTCATGAACAGGAGAAATAGACGAGATTCATCAAAAGTTAACGATAAAAAACAGTGTTTCATTAGAGAGCACATCTTGAATTCAGTGTAAAACTATTGTCTGTATTAACATTTATATTCGACAACGAATAAAAACTTGCGATCAATTTCCAAGAAAATTGATATAACTTAAAACGTAAAAAAACTCAGCAACGTTCACCAAACAGGATAACAAACATAAGAAAAGAAAAGAAAGCAAAAGGAGCAAACCAAATTCCCGGAAGCCAGGTGTGCCTAGGTGACAAAAAAACAAAAATCCATCCCAAGTTTGTGTCCCATCTCCGTAAATTCCTTTTCTTGTGTTTGTCGGTTCAATAAAAATTCCCATCAAATGCAAATGCAAATCCAAAAAGTAAAGCAGGATGAAACCAAATCATATGCAAAACACTACGATAAAAAAAGAACAGAACTGGGGAACATTTCAAACCAGTACTTGACCAGCCCAGTTGTTTGCCAGTGAAAGAAGCTTGCGGCGGATGCCGTCGCTGATGCGTGTGCTGGAAGCCTCGTCAATGCACTTGACTCCGTAAGCCAGAATCTCCGAGGGCGTGTCGAGCGTAAAGTGCCGGCCATCACTGTGGGTCAGAACGGCCGTGACACCGTCGCCTCCCCAGAGGTAGGCAATGACTGATTGGTCCTCCGGGGTCACGCTGTCAATGGCGACGAGGGACGTGGCATTCGAGGATGGCGCATTGGCACCATCGCTCACGCCATTCCCGCTCGGGTGACCACCCTGGCTCCGGGGGCTCAGGCCTGGGGACAGTGTCGGGCCCGTCTTTAGAGGCGATCCTATCAATGTCGGTGATGCAGTACCTGCAACCGCTGACCGCGACCCGGCAGCAGAAGCAGCGATACTACTCGGCTCATTGCCCGTCTGCTGCTGCTCCGCCGCGTTGCTGTCCAAGTGACAGACGCTCTCGGCCCAGAGAATCAAGACGGCCCGATACAGCGCAGCGCTCCACCAACTGGGGCGCCGGTCAGAGGGCATCTGCCGCAGGACACGTAGAACCTGGCCACAGTGGAAAATAGCCTCTTCGCGTAGAAGGATGCAGCGCTTGTGCCGCACGGAGGGTTCGGTGGAGTTGGAGAATCCATCGCGGCGGGCAAGGCGCTCGATCTCCGGGAAATTGGTGACGGCATTGAGTGAGATTAGATGGTAAAGTACCAAATTGCACTTTGTGACGGCGCAGCCCGGATTTGCCTTGTAATAAGCCATGGACAGCTCGTACCAGTGCTGCAGCTGTGCCTGAACCTCTTCGAGACGCTGCATAGTCGAAGCCTTGGTGACTGTGCGGTTTGTGGTGCGGCGTACCGGGGGCACTTCGGGCAGGCAAGACAGCATCTGGCGCAAATGGCAGAGAAGGCCCTGAAGCGGGTGCAGAAGAAGGCGCAGCTGCTGTGGCGACAGCGTGGTCTTGCGGCGAGCGAGGTTGTCGTGCAAGAAATCCTGGAAGAGCTCGCAAAGCGATGGAGTGACTGAAGTTGCCGAGGCGTTATTGCTGCTACTCGCATTGGAGCTCGTGCTGTAGGTGCTCTGGGCGACGGTGGCCCAACGTTCGGCCGTGGGGGCAAGCCACAGTGCCTCCGAGCTCGGCAGAGGGCACTGAAGGTCGCTGATGGATAGAACAGGCGCAGTGTCGTGGAACAGACTCAATTCCTGGTCGACCATGACCCAGTTGTAAACGAGCCGGTTTTGCGACTCCCGGTGCAGCCA